CTATAATTAAAAGGAAATAAATACCTCACACAACTTTTGAAGAAGTCCTTTTAACACATTTTGTAATTTGATACTTGAAACAGATGATGGATTGATGATTGGTGCAAATATAAGTCTTTCCAAATTCCAAGAAGTTTTACAAGATGCACTCAAACATTATGAGGTTTGGAAACTTTATACCAAGTTTTATTTACGGCCTTATGGCATTAAATATTTAAATTGTTATATAATGTGGCTTACATTTATTCATACTTTCTACCTTTTTAAAGTCTTATCAAACTCAAATATTTAAAGCGCTCTTGGAAAACCTTCGTTGGTTTGCTGGAAATCAAATCCGTAACGTAGCTACACCAGCAGGAAACATTATTACAGGCTCTCCGATTTCAGATTTGAATCCAATTTTCCTTTCATCAAAAACCTTATTCTCTCTATCATCCTTAGAACCGTCATCAATGCAAACAATAAATCGAGTTGTTTTATCTGAATCATTTTGGACTGGATATAGAAAAAATTGTTGTGAAGAAACTGAAATTCTTGAAAAAATTTTTATTCCTTGTACAAAGCAAGGTCAATATATCAGAGCTTATAAACAAGCTAAGAGACGAGATGATGATATTGCTATTGTTAATGCTGGGCTATCGGTATTACTGGATGATGATAATCAAGTGAGAGAGGCTGCATTCTCCTTTGGAGGAATGAGTTGGGTTACCGTTAGAGCGCCCGTATCTGAAAATTTTATTTTGGGAAAAACTTGGGGTGATCAAAATGTGTTAAAAGGACTTCTTCAAAAGTTGTGTGAGGTATTTATTTCCTTTTAATTATAGGTTTCGATTATATATTTATTTACAACTAATAATAATTATTATTTTATTGAATATACTATAGGAGTTTAATTTGAAATTTTCCACCCCAGGCGGCATGGCAACATATCGCAGATCTTTAGTTGCAGGATTTATGTACAAGTTTTGGTGTGATGTTTCAAAATCTATTAATATAATGGTGGATGATTGTGGTGATAATATTGAAAATTTTGTTGGGATAATTGAACGTGATATTTCAAAAGGTGTTCAAATTGTTGGCCAGACTGAGTATGTTTCCCTATTATTTCTATCTAGTATTTAAATGCTATTGAAATTATTTATAGTATTCCAATATTTTTATCATGATAAATTTTAAATTTATGATTGGACGCTTTATATTATGATTCATTGACAAACTAATGATGCATATAATTTATTTGATTTAATAGGAAAGACAAATTAATTGTTGGAAAACAAATCCCTCATGCATCAGCTATGAAGCAAGTTACTGGTGAAGCGATGTATATTGATGATATACCAAAAATTCAGGGCGAATTATATGGTGCATTGGTTTTGTCACAAAATGCTCATGCAAAAATTTTAGGGTAATTAGATCTTACAATATAGATTACAAATAAATTGATTTTTGGATCAAACTTAATAATATTCTGTATTGCTAATAGAATTGATGCAACTGAAGCATTGGCTCAACCTGGCGTAAAAGGGTTCTATTCGGCAAAGGATGTACCTGGAAATAATATTTGGGGGCCTATATTGCATGATGAAGAGGTTTTCGCTAGTGAGGAGGTTAATTGTGTGGGCAAGTAATTTAATATTTTTTATATATTTGTATATTCTACCGTCAACTCTCTATATATGGTATTAAGCTTCTAAATAGTAATATAAGAGAAATTTATTTAATATATTTGCTCTAACAAAGAATTGGTACCTAAAATAGTGCGAGTTGACTGTACATTATATAGAATGTTCAATTTTAGTCTTTGATATCAATTTATTACTAACAAATGCATTGTACATTATTATACAGGACAAATCATCGGTTTAATAGTTGCTGAAACTCAAACAATTGCACAAGAAGCTGTGGGCTTAGTGAAAGTAAACTATTTGGTGCTACCTCATGTTTTAACCATCGAAGAAGCGATTAAAAATAGTAGCTTCTTCCCAATGGATAGATGCATTGTAAAAGGAGATGTAGAAGAAGGTTTCAAAAAGGCTGATTTTGTTTTTGAAGGTATATATAAATGTTAAATTTTATTTATTATCGCTAAAATTTTTCTTAGATTATTAATTCCTTTTATGTTACACAGGTGAAACAAGAATTGGTGGTCAAGGTAATTATTTTTTTATCTTACATACTCGTCTAAATGTTTGTGACCATGGATTAAGTTTCATTCAAAAACTATATTTATAATTAGAACATTTTTATTTGGAGACTCAGGCTGCGTTAATAATTCCAAAAATCGAGGATAAAGAATTCGAAATTTATGCATCAACCCAAAATCCTACTGAGACACAACTTATGGTTGCCTCAACACTTGGTATTGATGCTAATAAAGTTGTATGTCGAGTTAAAAGGTTAGGTGGTGGTTTTGGTGGAAAAGAAACGAGAAGTATTCCTTTATCATTAGCATTAGCAGTTGGTGCATGGCATCTTAAAAAACCTATTAGGTGTATGTTAGATCGTGATGAAGATATCGTTATATCAGGACAAAGACATCCTTTCCTAGGGCGGTGGAAAGTTGGGGTGACTAAGGATGGAAAATTACTGGCAATGGACGCGCAAGTAATTATCTAGCAATTTCTAGAATTTTTTTATTTTATTTTTTTTTGTTTGTTAAAAGTGCATTATTATATTTACAGGTTTACAATAATTGTGGTTGGTCAGCAGACCTTTCTGCAGCCGTACTTGAGCGTGCCATGACACATTTAGATAATTGTTATTATATACCGAATATGCGAGTAACTGGACGTCTTTGCAAGACAAATATTCATTCAAACACAGCTTTTAGAGGATTTGGGGGTCCTCAAGGGATGCTTATTACCGAAAATTTTATGAATGAGGTTGCAGACCGTATGGGTATTGATGTTAATGATTTTAGAGTATGTAATTCTTGACAGTTTTTATTATTAATTAAATTTATTGTATTAATATTTATTTATTTATTTTATTTTTGTTAATAGGAGAAGAACTTGTACGTGGAAGGCCAAAAGACACATTTCAACCAGACACTCAAGGATTGGCATTTACCCTTAATTTATCGTCAAGTTAAAAACGACAGTGAATTTGAAAAGCGAAGAAAAGAAATTGATGAATTTAATTCTGAACATAAATGGCGTAAAAGGGGTTTAGCCTTGATACCAACCAAATTTGGAATTTCGTTTACTGCATTGCATCTTAACCAAGCAGGAGCTCTGGTGCATATTTACCAAGATGGAAGCGTTCTTATAAATCATGGTATTTACTATTTTTTTTTTTTTTAAAAGATCTTTGGATGCAAGCGTTAGTTGCTAACCCTTGGATTTTAGGCGGTGTTGAGATGGGACAAGGTCTTCATACCAAGATGTTGCAGATTGCTGCTGAAACTTTGGATGTCCCATTGGAAACCGGTAAGAATTTTTTAATATTTGCATCGTGTTCTATAAGAATCTATTTATGTAATTCAATACTATTTCTCTATTTAAATAGTTCATTTAATGGAAACTGCCACAAATTTAGTCGCCAATACTTCAGCCACAGCCGCTAGTGCTAGTAGTGATATTAATGGGTATGCTGTATCCAATGCTTGTAAAACTTTGGTTGAAAGACTAAAGCCTTATCGAGAGAGAATGCCAGATAAAAGTTTTAAGGAGGTACTCGTAATGTTTGATGTGGTTATCAAATCTTTTTTTTTTTATATATTAAATTTTTATTCATTTATGTAGATTGTACATGCTGCATACTTCGATCGAGTAAATTTGTCCGCTAATGGATATTACAAAACCCCAGATATCGGTTATGACTGGGAGAAAAACGAAGGACAATTGTTTTTTTATTTTACGATGGGCGCAGCATGTACAGAAGTTGAGATTGATGTATTAACAGGCGATCATACAATTTTGAGAACCGATTTATGCATGGATATTGGTAGAAGCATAAACTATGCGATAGATGTAGGACAAATTGAGGGTGCTTTTGTACAAGGTGTTGGATGGTGTACAATTGAGGAAACCTTACATTTTCCAAATGGACATGTATTTACCAAAGGACCTGGAAATTATAAACTACCCGGATTCAGGTTTTTTTTTTTTGATTGATTGATTGATTGATTGATTGATTGAATTGTATGTAATTACATAGTTCTAATTTATTATTTTATATAGGGACATACCACAAGATTTTAGGATATATACATTGAAAAATGCTTCGTATCCTAACTTAAAAACTATTCATAGTAGTAAAGGCGTAGGTGAACCTCCGTTGTTTTTAGGAAGTTCGGTGTTTTTTGCTATTAGAGATGCGATTAAATCTGCAAGGTATTTAATGAATTCTGGTTTTAATTGATTTATGATATTATTCAAATTTATTAATTTTATATGTTTTATACTTATTAAAACAGAGAATCTAATAACAATAAAAAAGCAGTAGTTTTAAGTTCACCCGCAACTCCTGAAATAATTCGAATAGCATGTGATGATGAGATTGTAAGAAATTGTAAAGTTGAGAAGGAAGATGGAGAACATGTGTGGGTACTTAGAGCTTAGATCTAGTCTTAAAAAGCTTTAAAACAATGACATTATTTTTGATTTAGTTGAATGAATATGTAACTTCCTATAAGGACTCTCGAATTATAAATTCGGAGCACTTGATAATTTATATTTTTTGTGTACCTATATAAATATTAGAGTTATCATTTATCTCCAGTGCGATGCATCGCTAGTCTATGACCGACCAATCAGAATTTTTAACGTGAAAATCACGCTTTTTTCAAGAAATCGCAAAAATTTGCTTGAAACTGCTTTTTGCATTCTAACAAAAAAAAATTCCTTGGGTTAGAAACGTTCTCGGTCATATGACTAGCGATGTATCGCACTGGCGATGAATAAATAATTGTCTAAAGTTTATATCTAGTATTATAAAATTCAAATTTGATTTAATGTTTTCAATTTTCAACTTTTTAAAAAATTGTTTAATATTCGAGAATATAAAATTTAAAATTGATTATATATTAAGTATTGTATATTACAGTATTCTTTAGTCTATATTCCAGACAAATTTGTCTGAAAAATTAGAGTTAATACTATTTTTTAAATAATTTAATAAAATATTAATAATATGAGATCTATATTATATATAAAATATATTATTATTATTATTATTATTATTTTTATTTTTTTTTTATTTTTTTTTTATTTTTTTTTATTTATTTATTATTATTTAGGCTGCTTTCTTGGCCAATTGGATTTTATTAATTTGTTATCACAGAGTTACTATAGTAGTAATCTCCTAAGGTTTTACAGTTATATGATAAGTATACAACAAGCTACATATACAACTTTAGTTATTGTCTAATTTAAGTATTATAAACCTCTTTTCACCTTAACTCCTTTATACTATCACTAATATCTAATTCCCTAGTTGCATACTCTTTAATTGCATTGACAATTATTAGCAGGGGGTAATTTTTAACTGCCTCCTTTTCTACTAAGTTCTGAACGTATTATGAATGTTTTAACCTCTCATTGTCTTCAATAAAATGAGTATGATCAGGGCTATTTTGAAATCGTTCAACGAGCACCTTCTGCTCTGTAACCAAATGCAAGACCCTAATTTTTACCTTGCATAAATTTAGCGAGCGGACCTTCGTTTTTCACCTTTTTTCACTTGGAACTCCTTCTTTACGTACACTTGATGGATTGTGTTTGGCAAATCGACATAAATAAATAACTGACTAATTACTATTATTATGTTTTCTGGAGCTATATCTTGCCTAAATATTAGTAACAAGGGGCCACCATTGATTATCAAAGTCCTGTAATGAAACTTCAAATAGTTGGCTAACATTATACAGAAGGGAGCACTTTTGATTAGAGGTAAGTTGCGCTGAAATATATAGTTTAATTTTACCATTCATAGGAGTTATAAACGCAACCTATATATTTATATTATAAGTATAACAATCACTTAAACTTAATTAAAATCTAATTTAATTAAAATATTATATACAATGTCATTTTCAAATATTTCAATGTTTTTACTTTCATTTTTAAGTGTTTCAATGTTTTTCTTTATCACTTTCGGATGTATCCAAAATCTCAATTACAGTATTCATGATATAGTTAACGTCATGAGCAGTTGTAAGAAAAAAAAAAATTTAAAATTGTATTTAAAAAAAAAAAATAAAAAAAAAAAAGAGATAGTGCAGTAGCTTTTTTTCATAAAAAAAAAAAAAAAAATATATATATAGTGAAATATGTAGTGACAGTTTTTCAAAAAAAAAGCATGGTGGCAATTTTTGTTTATTAATAAAAAAACTCCTCGTAAAAATAAATTTTTTAAATTTTTGTAAAAGATCAATTATTTAAATACATCCCGTGATTACCCGATAGTCATTGATTATCGAGAAATCTCGTGATATACCTGGCTTTAGCCACCCCCCACTTTAAGTATTTTCTTATTCGATTAAAAATACTTTAATTTTCGATTTTATTTTAATTTTTATTTAATTTTTAATTTTTCGAAACTTGAATTTTCAGAGAAAATTTTTAAAACCTATTTAAATACTCTATTTATTAACCTATACAGATCTAACCTAACGTCACTACAACATCTAACTGCTT